CTACCTATACTCCTCCTGCTGTGCGTTGTCAGAAACAAAGAAAGGGTTTTCTAGTCTCTCTGTTTATCTTTTCCCCTTTTCTTTTTCATTTTTCATCTCGAATATATTATATAAAAAAACTGGTTGCCATGCATCATCGTAATCAATGTTTCAATCTAGTTTCTGATTAATTTTTTCTTCTTTTAAATTACTCATTTCTAAAAAAAATTTGTAGTTTTCAGCTATTTCACCATGGCTTCCAATTTGAAGAAGGAACTCACTGCTGCCGGTGAGCATAATCCCAGATTTCCCTTTCTTTCTTCATCGGTTTTTGGAATTTGTTCTGAGATCTATCTGAGCTGTTCATGCTTACATGGCGCTTAATTTACTGTTTTAGGTTATTCTGATTATTCCTTTTTTTCACTACGAAGTTTAGGTATCGGATTGATCTGATTTTCGATTCGGAAATGATGCCTATTCCTTTTTCATTTTACTAAGTTTGTGGTCTGGCAATTGTGTTGAGGATTGAGTAGTTTCAATTTGTTTGTGTTTAGTGTGGAAGAATCCAGATATGGGTTGGTTTGGAAGATAGTGAATTGATTATTCTTTATGTTTCTCTTGTATTTATTAGATGAGAAATCGACTTTGGAAACAGATAAAAAAAGTTCAAAGCCTGAAACATCCACCACTGGGGGGTCACAACAAGCACAGGCAGGTACTACCCCTGCCACCACTATGCCTGGTCCTGGGTTTGCCCCACCAAATCCGTTTGATTTCTCAGCCATGAGTGGCCTTCTTAATGTAAGCATTTCTCCTTTTATTTTCTAAATTATTGTTTGGAAATGTTGTGAGCATAATGATTTTATCGTTGCTTGGTTTGTATCCTTGCTAATGCTGCTGTGGTAGAGCATATTAAGATTTCTGGCTGATCTCATTGATTGAACCATCTTGGTTTGTTAGGATCCAAGTATCAAAGAACTGGCTGAGCAGATTGCCAAAGATCCTTCATTTAATCAAATGGCAGAGCAGCTCACGAAAACATTTCAAGGAGCACCAACTGAAGAGACCATTCCACATTTCGATCCACAGCAGTACTATTCAACCATGCAACAAGTTATGCAGAATCCCCAGTTTATGACCATGGCTGAGCGCCTTGGTAATGCACTAATGCAGGTATATATGGGCTCTGTTGCCACTTGGAGTGGATTAACGGTCCTTCTAGTCTTTTTCCCTAATATTAAATTACATGAATCACTTCTGGCAGATGAAGTTTTTGTTGTCCTTCTTCAGGATCCAGCTATGTCTAGCATGCTTGACAGTTTGGCTAATCCTCAACAAAAGGACCAGATTGAAGAAAGGATGGCTCGTATAAAAGAAGATCCATCCTTGAAACCTATTTTAGAAGAAATAGAGACTGGTGGTCCTGCAGCAATGATGAGGTGAGTATTTACAATGGTAAAATACTAGGAGATTGGGAACCATTATGATAAGCTTGTGGACACAACATTTTCTTCTTTTGGATGTATGATTTTGCATCCTACGATTTCTTCAGTAAATTAATCAAGAAAGGTTTTATTGTTTAGGTATTGGAATGATAAAGATGTCCTGCAGAAGTTGGGCGAAGCAATGGGTCTTGCTGTTTCAGGAGATGCAGCAACTTCTGTTGGTAACTCTGCGGCAGGTGAAGAGGAAGAAGAAGGAAATGAGGATGAGTCAATTGTACATAACTGTGCTAGTGTTGGTGATATTGAGGTATGGTAGAATGAATGTTTTCTCCATATGTTTTCTCCTTTGACAGATAATCTGAAATGTCTCAACTCTTGAATGTATTCATGGTTTAGGGTCTGAAAGCTGCACTATCCTCCGGTGCTGACAAGGATGAAGAAGATTCAGAGGGAAGGACTGCATTGCATTTTGCTTGTGGTTATGGCGAGGTAATAATAATTTTTATCCAAATCACTCTTCCCTCTTCCTCCCTCCCCCTCGCCCTTCTCTCTCTCTGCACTGCTGCATTACCTAACAAATGAAATAGTTTCATTTGCGATGATAAAGTTGGTGTGGAAATCAGATGGTTTTAATCAGTAATGCAAGTATCCAATACCAATATCTAATTGCTGACTCTCTCTCTTTACATCATACATGAATAACCATAGTTAATGCACTAAGGGCTTCTTAATACCCTCATTGAGTGGAAGTTTTAGGACGGACACATTGAACCGAATAATAGACTGCCAAAAGCAGTTTGGAATTAGGACTTGGATTAAAGCATTCTTTTGTTTGTAGCATCTCATCTTGGGATCTTTGTAGCTAATGCCTAATACGTATTTGAAAGACTGAAACAAATCAATCAGGCTTTTCTTTTTACTATTTTATCTGATATTAGTTTATAACGGAATCTGTTGGCTACTAAGCAATGCTTCTACTTGTTTTTACAGTACTTGTTGCCATCGGGTGGGCTTAGTAGCAATGCTCACTACTTGTTTTTACAGTACTTGTTGCCATCGGGTGGGCATATTCATTACATTTCCTTTAATAAATTATGGACATATTTCGTTTGAGGGATTTATTCTACCAAATTGCGGCTATGCATGACAAACAAGAAACAAGATAGATATAATGTAGCAGTTTACATGAGTTTGTCCGAGATTAGATTATTGGTTGCTTGAGCTACTAGTATTAGGTTTGGTGTTTGCTGGGTAACAGCAAATGCGGTTCTGGTTTTATTTCAGGTGAAATGTGCTAAAATCCTTCTTGAAGCTGGGGCAAAAGTGGATGCTTTGGACAAGAATAAGAATACTGCACTTCATTATGCGGCGGGTTATGGAAGGAAAGAGTGTGTGGCCCTTTTACTGGAAAACGGTGCTGCTGTGTAAGTAATGAAGTGTCTTGGCTAAACATTTATTGTGACCCGACCTCTTAATGATTATTTGCTTTGATGTTGACTGCAGCACTCTCCAAAACATGGATGCGAAGACTCCCATCGACGTTGCGAAGCTCAACAATCAGAATGAGGTAGTAAAATTGCTGGAGAAGGACGCCTTCCTTTGAAGTTTTAAGTGGGGAGAGGCCATGGAGGGGGGGCAATGGTATGTGTATGTTTGGGTCGAAGCGTGCTTGTTATAGGCATTTGATCTTACTTCCGCTATTAGACAAATTTGGTTTTAATCACGGCTCGATGCCTTCTATTCTTATTTTGCTTCTGCCTGCATTCTGAGTATTTATTAAAATGTAGTGCTTTTTTATGAAATAGTTTCTACATGGGGAATAACGGGGACAACTTGTGGACCAGAGAAATTTACATAAGAGTTCTTTGAGACTAAAGAGTAGAATATATTGTTTGGGACGTCTCAAGCTTCTGGCAAGCGCATCTCTTGCGTGGGTTCGGATTCTTCGTCATCTGAGTTCCAATTGTTTTCTCGGCGAATTTTTTACTTAACGCATTAGCTATGAATAATTTAATTTTTAAATAGATTAATTTATAGTTAAAATTGAGTTGTTACAGTAAAGAATGTTCATTCATTACTTTTAATAATTTTAATATACCAATTATCATTATATTAGTCAAACAAAACTAGATAGAATTTATGCCACTAAAGGGTGGGTAGGAATTTGAACTCTAAATCTCTTGTCTAAGGGGTTAAGTACCTAACCACTTAAATGTTTTAGAATTTTATTAGATTTATATTGAAGTTTATACTTTAGTTACATTTTGTCATTATCATTAAATTATGTCAAAATATAATTAAAATTGTTCAAATCTGAAACCTCTGTAAAAATGAGTTTAGAGTTCAGACACCAATCGAATTATATAATTTTTATAGTTTTAATTAACTTAATATTTAACTTAAGTTTTGACTAAAATTATTATTTAAAAAAATAAATAATTATTTGTTTTATAAAATTAATAATATATTATCCTAAATTTTAAATTTGTAATATTTATTTAAAAAATAAAAAAAATTAACTTGCCGGTTATATGAATTAATTATTTCAAACATTATTATTTTTCAGATTAAATAATTATATGATTAATCATTATAATTTTTAAATCCCTTTCAATCATTGAGGTCACTTAATTCATACTTCAATCGGTTGAATGTATTTAATAAATTGCTTTGGTATATATATTATATGCCTAGCAAAACACACACTTAATATATCAAATATTTATTCATGTATTTGTGGATGTAATTATATAATAATTGAATAAAAATGATATTTTATGAATTTAATACATACAAAAATATATATAAAAAATTAAAAAAAAATTGGCACAGTAAACAAAGACCGGGTCCTAGATTTGAATCTTATTTTGCATATTCAATAATAACTCTCATTAATCAATATGATTGTATTTGTATCTCCTTAAAAAAAAGGTTAGAGATTCTGTTTTCTTTAATCTAAATTACCAATTTAAATCTCAGCTTGCAGATTGATGTTTTTGAAGGATTTTATGTCACATCAGTTGTGGTGATGTTGATGGTGGTGATGGGTATAAAATGTGGATTCTAACAAAAACCAAACAAATGTTAATGCTGTGGTCCTTGATCTTGACATCTTCATTTGATGATATTCCTAAAACAAAACTCCATTTTTGCTGTTATCTGCCTCCCAAGGAACATCCCAAAACTGCAGACGTTGAGAGTGAAAGTGAAAGTTATCTTCATTAAATCTCGACGTACGGGTCCTTTGCATTGCAGCCTCACAAATCTGGTACTGCTTTCTTGCTCCTGTGACGATAAAAATCTTCTTCCTCATCTAAATGTGACAAAATTCCGGATAGATTTGATGGAAAAATCGACGATCTTGATGTATCTATTTGAACTATCCACATATAAAAATCTCATGGTCATTGGAGCTAGTGAACTCGTAATTATCCTGCCATTATGTTAAATAGAAACCAGAACCAGAAACTTTGGAACTAGAATGAATTTAGAGCAGCGTCACTGTCTCCATTGCCATTAAAGTGCTTTACAAGTTTGAGCTCATTTAAAAGTAGGTATAATTGTGTGTACAGTTTCTGTTGCTAGGTGCTAAAATCATGTATTCTTCATGTCTGCTAGAGTTCATATAGGAGAAACCTTTCCAGCACTGAATTTTAGTATGGGAGATGATTGATAAAAAGTTACTTTGATTTATGATCATTTCTTACTTGGTTAATGTATGCAGCCTTGCCTGCATTCACCTGAGAGACGTCGAAAATGGAGAAAGGAACGGCCATGGGGCTTCAGGGATCAATTGAATCAAGTTTTAGTCCCTCGTCATCAAATAATCTATCAAGAAGTAGGGAACAACAGAGATTGATTGAGTTATTTGAATCTTTGGGAACTCGGAACATTGAGGACGGATCAGCTACGAAAGTCACTACTGCTACAAGGAAAGAGCCTATGAATAAGTGGTTGACACTGGAAGGAGAAGCTTCCAACAATTCTAAGGTCATAAGGTTCGATGATGACTCCTTCGAAATCTTGAATGGGGGTAGCACTGCAGGGGAAGATTCAAATGGACAGTCCTCGATCAAAGCTAATATAGACAGTATAGTTGAACGGACAGCAGAATGGGGTATTGCAGTGAAGTCGGATGCTGGAGAAGGAAGTTTCAGAGTGATTCGTAGAGGAATGGAAACCGGAGAAGGAAGTCGGAACAGAACCTCATTAGACAAATTTGCAGTGGACTCAACAAGGACATCGGAGGAAACAAGTTATGGATCAGATCGAGGAGCCTTTCCAAGGGTGTCACAAGAGCTGAAGGATGCTTTAGAAACTCTGCAACAAACTTTTGTTGTATCTGATGCCACTAAACCTGATTGCCCTATAATGTACGCCAGCAGCGGATTTTTTGCAATGACGGGTTATTCATCGAAGGAGACCATAGGAAGAAACTGGTAAGTTGAAGCTTTTAAATATGTAGAGGGGCAGTTGGGAGTTGTTCCAAAGGAACTGCAATCATTCTGCAGCTCAAAATGACTGCAATTTTCCACTGCTCATTGCACACGATAGAGATTGTAGATAATTTTCTTACATATTTTAGAATAGTAATTATTTCAAGTACTGTTGCACACCCATAACTGATAGAGATTGTAGTTTTCAAATGTCAATTAAAATAAAGCTCTTAACATCATACTATATCGTATTGTGATTGATAATATCACCATACTTTCAAATACTACGAATTTGAGAGTTCAAGGATGCTATGCAGCCGGTTTCTACAAGGACCAGAAACAGACAGGAAAGAGGTTGCCAAGATTAAAGATGCAGTTAAAAATGGAAAAAGCTTTTGTGGCAGGCTACTCAACTACAAAAAAGATGGAAGTCCTTTCTGGAATCTTCTCACTATCAATCCCATCAAAGACGATAAAGGAAAAACGATCAAATTCATTGGGTTAGTTCCCTTTACTTTTTTTCTTTCATAATTATTTCATGTCAATATTAAACGGATACAAAGTTATTGTATAATGCTGTGTTGTGCAGAATGCAGGTGGAGGTCAGCAAATACACAGAAGGTGTCAATGAAAAGGCACTGAGGCCTAATGGACAGTCCCAATCATTAATCCGTTATGACGGTAAATTTTTGGAGTATTTTATAGCTTGCATTCAATTTTATCATGTAATAATCCTACATTTCTGAACAGCTCGACAGAAGGTTAAGGCTTTAGATGACATCACAGAGGTTGTTCATACTCTGAAACATCCTCAAACTCACATTCAAACAACAAGTAATGATGCCATTAACAAGCTCGAAGATCAGGAAAAGTTCAACCTCAATTACCTTCTGACTAAATCTGCCAAAACCGGAAGCATTAGTACCCCTGGAAGATATACTCCCCGATCAGACATCAGTACTGCTACTCCAGGACATGAAATTGGCAAGAAAAATAGAAAATCAGCTCGCATTTCGTTGAAGGGGTGAGTCTTTTTGGTTTAAGCTTTCATCTTTCAGCAATTCGCTATTCAAAACACGTTTAAGAAGTAACTCCATTGTAATGAAATGAGAGCATTTTCTTCCTTATCTGATACATGATATCTTCCCCTCAGGTTTAAAAGCAGGTCTTTCAGCTTTGCAGCCAAGCATGAAAAACAACCAGTGCTTGAACCAGAGGAGTTAATGATCAAAGATATAGAACGCGTTGACAGCTTGGAACATGGTGAAAGAGAAACGAACATACGCCAAGGGATGGATCTAGCAACCACATTGGAACGTATTGAAAAGAATTTTGTGATCACAGACCCAAGACTCCCTGATAATCCCATTGTAAGGAAGAGATCTCATTATTGTTCTTCTCACAGAAATCGTAACTTTTTACACTAATCAAAAGTCTGAGATTACTGATTTTTTTCTTTAAAACTGTATGCTTCTACAGTAATTTATTTGCTACTTTATGAAGTTATGCGAAATCATTGAGTGAGTATTGCTTATCAGAGCCTGTTTTGGAACTGTGGAATACAAGGTGTGGTGTTTTAGCCTCGATTGTATATGTATCTGAAAAGCCACTGTAATGTTCAAATGTATGCAGATATATGCATCTGATAGCTTCTTGGAATTGACAGAATATACACGTGAGGAAATCTTGGGAAGGAACTGTAGGTATGAAATTTATACCACTACTTCAAATGTCAAAATTATGGTAACTATTCTGCGTTTGGTTTATTTTTGCTATGAATATTTGCCATCAATTTCATCGCAATTATTGTTTAAGTCTAGGTTTGAATGTTCCTAAAGTTATTTTCTAAGTTCTAACCAACAACTAATTGGTCTAAGCAAGGTCAGAGATTTGAAAATGAAATAAACTGGGTTGGGAGGTCACTTATGAATGGGCCTCTGAAATACTCAATTCGAATTAATCGATTAATAGATTACACCATATTTTCTAACCTTGTACCGGTTCAACCCCTATTTTCCAAACTAACTACGACGTTGTTTTTTGATTAACCAAACTAACTACTTCAATCAACTTTCTATGGGGTGTTTTCCTGAACCATATAGAACTTGCATAACATTTTCTTTTTCACAGGTTTCTTCAAGGACCAGAAACTGATCAAGAAACTGTGTTGAATATAAGAGATGCAATTAAAGAACAGAGGGAAATAACTGTTCAGTTGATCAACTACACAAAAAATGGTTGGTAAAAGCAATGAAAAAGAAGAAGAATATGTATGCTGACAGAAACATTATTTCACTGAATTGTTACAAATTTATGAACTGCAGGCAAGAAATTCTGGAATTTGTTTCACTTGCAACCTATGCGTGACCAAAAGGTAGTTCACAGTTAGCATTTTCATGTGATTATCCTGCAGAACATACTCTTTTTTACTGACTTGTCACAAATTCCTGGTTATTTTATAGGGTGAGCTTCAATATTTCATTGGTGTCCAACTTGATGGAAGTGATCATGTTGAACCCCTAAGAAGTCGCCTTTCTGAGACAACAGAACAACAAAGTGCTAAGTTGGTTTGTAATCTTTCTCTTCCAATTATCTACACGAACAGTGATTAATTTATGGTCATGAACGCATTTTCAGTGTGGTATTATTCTTTGCACTTAAGGACATAACGTATGTTATCAAGATCTCGGTGAATATCAATTCATTTGATATGTTGACGTCCTTCTATATATCAGGTCAAAGCTACAGCAGGAAATGTGGATGAAGCAGTCCGAGAACTTCCTGATGCCAATTTGGTAAGGTATTCTTTTGTATGCATTATAATCTTGAATGCATTATAAATCTGTTCAACCTTTCTTGAATGCATTATAAACTTTTGTATGCATCTTATGATTTACTTTAAACGCGGATTTATGCAATCACTTATCGAAAAACATCTAACCTATTTAATATTCAAATCCCAATATTTGGAACCCTTTCGCTAATCTCAAACTGCAAACTTTTTATAGTCAAAACAAACTTATTATTTAATTTGAGAACACAATTACATCAGGTTATAATGATTTGCTCAGCCAAGTTGGACTAAAATTTCCAAACTATGGACCAGTACATGATCGAGTAGAGTCAAAAAAAATTCAATTTAATCGAGCTAGCAAATATTATTTTATAATTCATATTTTATTTAGAATATTTTCAAGTAAAGTTGTTCGAGTTTCTGTTTAAATTTAATTGTAAATATTTATATTATTACGGTACTATTTGATTTCAATTTAAACAGTTTCTATATCTATATATATATCATGTAAAGGGTTCGACTCAAGTTTAAAAATTAATATATTAATTACTAAAAATTTCAAATTATTCGAGTTATATGAGTTCTATCTTATAATTAGACTCGAATTTAAAAATAAAAATTCAAGTCAAACCAAATCAAATTTTTTAACGGTTAACTGTAACCAAAGTCTCATAGTTGACTGTGTCTAGAAATCGAGTGTAACACCCTAGACCAGTACGACACACAGTCGATTGATGTAGGATGTCACGCGGAACTACCGGAGTAGCTGACCAACACCTTACTCTTTTCTTGTACTATAAAATTACAATTTCCACAAATAAAAACATCCATGAAATGATATAATTTTAAACTTTATACTAGGGATCTCCTAAAACAAGTATTTACAATCAAAATATTATAGACCAACTCTTAATAAAATTTATGACTCATCTGATACAACATGGTTTATAAAATATACATGCCCTTCAAAAACTGTTGAGTAGTACTTTGAATCTGCATTGGGTCTAGACCTTGATCTATCTACTGCTCCTCGAACTCTCGATCTACTGACCTGCCTACGGAAAGCAATCCGAAATAGCTCAGCGCCACACTAACAACTAAAACATACTAAAACTTTAACAATGAAATGCTTAAGATATCAAGTCTACTGCTATCTGGTCTACTGGTCTGTTCTGTTCTACTTTAGTGAGTACACTCATATAGTCGCTCTCTACTCTATGGTAGACATCATGGTGCGGCTGAGGGTTCTGCATCTCGGAGCTCACACACCCCTATAGTCTACCGAGAATGTGGCCCCCAAAATCATTGTATCGGACACCATACTCTCGACTAGCCCACTCCTTGAGTGTCGGACCTTGAGCCCAAACTAGTCATCTTAAAGTGCCTTGCGCACTCCCTAAGTATATCCGGACTGAATCTATACTTTCGAAACTGCTAGCTTTTCTAAAGAAACTCAGGTGTCCTGGTCGTTTCCCAAGCATTCAAACAAGTAAATCTTATTTCACCTAACTTTATTCTCGTTTCTACATTTGAATTAAGCAATACTAATGTTCTCACTTGTAGTCTTATTTAAGAGTAATTATAAACTTTTAAGAAACCTCAATTACCTCTATATTTTCTCTTGACTTAAATCCCATTTGTTATCCTTGGTATCGATACTGACCTTACAATATCGATACCCTCGCTTGGCTCTACATTTACTTGTGCTTTAAAGCTCAAACCATACCAATGGTATCGATACTAGCCTTACAGTATCAATACCCTACCCAAGGTATCGATAACCCTACAACTACTTCATTCATTGCATCTCAACTTCAAACACCATATATAACACTTATTCTAGTGTTTTACGCGTATTTGAACCCATTTATGGTCATACTATGGGTCTAGTGTCTCCCGGGCAACGGTTTAGGCCATTTTTGACATTTTGGGTAGGGGTTTTGAAACCTCTAAAACCTCTCAAGCAAAATGTCATTATGGACAAGGGGTTTCGAAACCTATGTTGTAGATTTCACTTTTCATCAAAAAAACTCTCCAAAACACTCTCAAAACTATCTTAACGTCCCCAATTTCCTACCTTGAGGTTTCTCATTCATTATTAAGTCTTAAGTGGTCATAAAAGAGCATAAATAAGGCTTTAATACATGCTAATAACATCAATTAAACAATCTACCATTAACATATAACACTACGCTTCATAACTTACTATCAAGCTAGATCTCATTTTTAATGATCACTAGGAGTACGGAAGAGTTGATAATGTTTTACCTTGCTTCTTGTATGCTAGAAACTCTATCAAGTTAACCAAGGAACAACTTCTCTTTCCCGCTTGCTTTATAATTTTCTTCCACCTCCCTTACTAAACAAAGACAAGAAAAGGGGGTTTACTAAACTAACTAAGCTCTTGGATTAAAGCTTTAGATGCTCTAGGTAACTTGAATACACTATAACCAAGCTTGGATTCATGGATCCCCTTAACTTTCATAAAACTCATTTTTGAAAATAAATTCTAAAACTTACAAAATAGAGCTTAAAACAAAGCTTGAAGGATCGAGAAAAACATATTTACCTTTACAACAAACTAAGCTTAGAATACTTGAAATTTGACTCTTGAAACGAAGAAGAAATGGAAACTAATGGAAGGAAAAAGAAGAAGAGCGAGTGAGATATTATGGGGAGTTTGGTTAGGTGAAATGATATAAAAAAAAGGAGGGAAAAATTTTTGGCTTTAACAAAAAGGGTAAACTACACTTTAGGTCTTTCTCCTATTTACTTACTCTAAAAAAAACCCACTTCCCTATAACTATTGGGTTAGGCCCAATACTCTTAAGAATTGGTCTAAAATTGGCTTGGAAAATCTAATGGGTTCTACTGACAGATTTTGAGTTGACCGAAATTACTAACACGGAATTTATAGTATTACACCGAGCGATCTTTTTAGTTGATGTCTTCTTTTTCAGAGACCGGAGGATTTGTGGGCAGTTCATTCTCAGCCAGTCTTCCCACGGCCTCACAAAAGAGATACTTCTTCTTGGCTAGCAATTCAGAAGGTCGCGTTTTCCAAACTTAGATATAAGTCGCTTATTCAGACACATTCATGGTGTTATCTATTGCAAACAAACAGGCCCCGGTAATGCATGCATGCCTCTCCATTGCTTTTTCTCTCACTAACTTATCCCTTTTGGGTTCTCTTTAGATCATTTCTCGTGGTGAAAAAATTGGTTTGCATCATTTTAGACCCATAAGACCCTTGGGTTGCGGTGACACCGGCAGGTATTGCTTTCTGAATTTGTTCATTTTCTTCTTAAATATGTTGAAAGTGTAGGTGGACATAAAATATTATTATAATATAAAGATGTTTTTTCATTCTTAATATATTAGTTTATGGATTTAAATTCTTATGAGACAATTATTTCTGGAATTAACAAAATTGAGAAAAATATTTTATTGTGAAAGAGAAATAGCACAGGAAAAAAAATAACAATGGAGGAATAGGAATACTAAGTTGGAATGGTGTGTTAACAAAATATTTAATGATATGTAAAATAATTCTTATTTGATATGTGATATTATTAGTTAGAGATCATTGTTGAGGTGGTCAAAATAGTCTACCTAATAATTGTTCCCTAAATAGATACAAAATATTATGATAATGTAAAGATAAATTTTCTTTACCCTCACTATACTAATCACGATTAGTTTACACAAAATATTTGAATTTCTTTCGCTTGTTGTTTTCCTATTCGTTCAAGCCTCTGGACACATTCGATTTAATTCTTCACTTGCAGACACGCTCACTCAGTTTCTTTCTCCCTTTGCTCTCCCTTCATACACTACCAGTAAGCCTATTTATAAGCCTTTAGCAAACACTAGAAACAATTCTTACCACAACTTCCTTTGTTACTTCAAAATATTTATACATTATTAAATTAGCCAACTCGTACCAATTTATTTGGTTTGACGACGCATCCTTTCTATTATTTTATTGTTTTGAGTTTACCTGCACCCTTAATTCTTTTATCAATCTAAACATACGGTAAATATGAAATTGAAGTTGGTTTGATTCTAATAATTATAGTAGTATTGATACTTAATATTTTTTAGATATATATTTGAACATGATTCTAAGATATATTCTGGTACATATACAAATAAATTTTCAAAAAGTCAAGATGCTTAAATTCGTTACTCGTTTTCAGGTGTATGCTATTGCTTCTCTAATATTGTTAACCCCAAATCATTATGATATTTATGAATTATTGGCTACTTTTGATACCTAAATTATTTGGTGTTTAATGCAGTGTTCATCTGGTGGAACTGAAAGGTACAGGAGAATTATTTGCTATGAAGGCAATGGAGAAGTCGGTCATGTTGAATCGTAACAAGGTCTGCTATTGCTTAAACTCTTTCAAAATCCAAAATTTTCCTTTTGATGCGACTTTATTTGACCTACAAATTGCTACATACCTATGATGGTTGGACACGGATGTGTCCTACACATGCATGTTCAAATTTTCTAGGTTTTCCCATGCTGAAGAAAAATAAATTGTTGAAGCAAATAAATCATAAGAATTTGAATTTGTGATGGATATGCATTTTCGAGTAGACATGTTGAGTTGGTGCCTTTACAGGTACATCGAGCATGCGTTGAAAGGGAAATCATCTCACTTCTTGATCATCCTTTCCTTCCCTCATTATACTCTTCTTTCCAGGTTTTCTTGTATTCACCCTTTCTTCCTCCAAACCATTTGATAATTGTTATTTTTTTTTTTTGATAAGAAGAGGAGGCCTCGTTAAAAACCCCCTTCATGATTAATAGAACGCCTAATGGAATTCCTTAATTAACGGAATGAGGAAAAGAGTGCCTCAAAATTTATTATTAAAAATGTTACATAGAGTAGAATACATCCAAGAACATTCCCCTTACAACTGAAATCCCGTAAAACAAAATGATAAACCACCCAAACAAAAAGATAATTGTTAATTATGGTATTTAACAAGCTAAATTGACTCAAGTATTGAATTATTTTTGTAAAACAAATTGAAGTGCACTAACACTAATGTCTTCTTATCTCCACAGATTCCCACACATGTTTGTTTAATAACAGACTTTTGCCCTGGTGGAGAGTTATTTGCCCTGCTCGATAAGCAACCTATGAAAATGTTCAAAGAAGAATCTGCAAGGTGATGAGCACTAAAAAGAACCCGTTTTTCTTTCTTGAAAGAATATAATCATCTCCACATAAAAAGAGGGCAATAGGCTTCTCTGACAGAAACAGATTGATTCCTAGTTGTTCTCCTACTGTCTGATATTTTTACTGCTATGTTATTGGTTTTCCAGGTTCTATGCAGCTGAGGTTGTCATTGTTTTGGAATATCTTCATTGTCTAGGTATCTTAATAAACTCAGAACAGATATATTTGTCAATATTAACACTTCTTTTTTCATGGTATCTTGATGAACCCAAAAGTTGCAATAATATGATTTAACTATTTTCTGGTTTATAACAGGAATAATATATCGAGACTTGAAGCCAGAAAATATTCTACTTCAGAAGGATGGCCACATCGTATTAACCGACTTCGATTTATCTTTTCTGACTTCTTGTCATTCCAAAGTAGGTCATTTTTTCATTTTAATTTTTAATGTTTTCACTAGGTATTTGATAAGATTGTTTGATAAATAATGATAGTTTTTGCATTAGATTAAAGTTTATAATGATTTACAGGTTTTAAAGCACCCCATGCCTAACAAGAGAAGAAGATCTGGGAGTCAACCACCTCCAACGTTTGTTGCAGAGCCATCTACAGAGTCGAATTCATTTGTTGGAACCGAAGAATACATTGCTCCAGTAAAATGATTTTATTCATTTCATGCTTAATGTTCATAAGTTCAACTCTATTTATGATTTATTGTAGTTGCAACAAATAATATGTTCCCTTTCATATTTCTTGCTTTCAGGAAATTATTACCGGTGCGGGACACAGTAGCACCATTGATTGGTGGTCTCTTGGTAAGTAAATGGTGATTTTGTATCATTCCTTCTAAACTGGGTCTAGAGCATTGCTAATATTCTGTTAAACATGACATGCATGGAATTACATTTGGAATTTAGGTATTTTGCTGTATGAGATGCTCTACAGCCGGACGCCTTTTCGGGGTAAAAACAGGCAGAAGACTTTCTACAACATCTTGAACAAAGAACTCACTTTCCCAAGTAGCATTCCGGTACAATTCGAATCCATCGAGTATGAATGATTTATATAACAGTAGATTATACAACTTTCACCATCTTTTCGAAGATGACATAACATAATTGCTTGGCATAAACATAATCTTTATGGATTTTGAACTACAATCAGTATGTTCATGCAATTTTAAATATTTAGATTCTCCGCATGTTCATATTGTTTTCTAGATGCATCAGATGAAATACAAGAACCAGATTCTGTGATATAACTGTTTACCTGTGCCGCTGAACTGAAATACAGGTTAGTCTTGCAGCTAGGCAGTTGATTAACGCATTGTTAAACCGAGACCCCTCCGGCCGTTTAGGGTCGAGAACTGGCGCCACTGAAATTAAACAACACCCTTTCTTCCACGGCATTAATTGGCCTCTTATACGATACACGGTAATAACACTTCCTGATACATTAGAAAACTGAAACCAATTCAAATGATAAGAAGATACCTTGTTGCTGCTTCTCCTGATACATTGTTTTGATTACTGTTTTTCACTTGCAGAGCCCACCGCTATTGGAAGTACCTCTTCATTTAAACAAGAAAGATACAAGAACCGAAGACGTAAAGTGGGAAGAAGTGCTTGTTAGTTCTATTGACTTGGATACTTTCTTCTAAAGGTTCGTTAACCAATCGTAGCTTTAAAAAACTATCAACACATCATACGGATATGGATTATGTAGCAATGCTGATTTACCTTGTTCATAATAATTTCAGAAAGAATGAATCGTAGATTCTACTCTTTACACTAAACGGGTATAAACTCTTAAAATGGGACATTGCAGTACGACAACAAACAAGATGCTTCCCAGTGCGACTCAAGATGAAGCTAGCCAGGTGACAGTACACTCGCTGATTACTAAAGATCGACAAATCAGTCCTTATTAACATATAGACTATTTTGGCTGGTTAGGCTGGGAGACACAAGTGGCAGGTAAATCAATGTCATACCTTTAAGTCAGTTACTTGGAGGAGCCTCCTGGTGAAAAACTCCATAGTGAAGCTGTACCATGACTTTGACTTGATACAGGGAATTGTATACTAAATTTAAATGCTATAAGATTTTGCTTAATGAAAACAGGGATAGCTGATATGAAACTCCGAGATTAGCAAAACAGAACACCAGATAGTTTGGCTTATTCTTCTATGATCAAATATATAAATTTGTTCCAGAGCACTTGATACGGAAGTCTGAATTGTCTCTGAAAATGGAGATTGGACTCACATCAACCTCTTTTTCACTTCTTTTACCCAGATCTTATCCTCATTCTTTCCAGATTTAGCAAGTATTACCAATATGACATGATTGCTTCAACAAGCCAACAACTGCCTGTTTCAGCTCTCCTCAACTGAAAAGGAAGAAACAAATACAAAGGAAGCAGGAATCAATGATTCACCACTCAAAAATTATGCAATTTCCTCCTAACTGCATTGAACATGTGAATCAATTAAAGGGGAAAACATTAAGCTAATAGCTAATCAACCACAAATCCCTAGAAAGTTAACGTCGTTTTCTTTATATCTGCTTGAAGCTTAGCCATCGACCATAGCAACGGCTGCCTCTAACATCTGCTGCCATTCTTGACATTTATTCACAAAACCTCAGCATATAATATTGAAGAATAATATAGCTCTATGTTATGCAACAAAAAAGGGAATAACACGAGAAATACGCTTATCTGAAATTATCAAGAAAGATATTGAGGAATGACCATTTGAAGAATATACAACACCTGACCAGAAAAATAATGACTTCTTGTGGTCAAGAACCATGCGATTCTATTAGTAGAGTGCTGGACTATCAGGTTCTCTAGTCAGGGATCAAACCTTGGTAATCTCAAAATATATAAAACAACTATTTGATTCGAGAAGCAGCTTTCATCTAATTACATCAGCAGCACTTGCAAGACATCACTAGATGCTTGAGAGCTTTGTTCTCCGACATTAGAAAAAAAAGATGAGTGAGAGAGAGAAAAACGTAGAGAGAGAGAGAATTTGAAAGAAAAGCTAGTTTCCGATGAGAGTTGGTTCGGCTTTTGTTGACAATCTCAGTAGGAGGGTTTCTCGACGTACTTTAAGGGATTTATTCTTAGTACATGGTCTTAGAAACTAAAAATCCAAAATACAAATTTTCCACCTTTGTTTTTGTTCATTTTAAGAGTGAGGTTGGTTTGAAGAGGGCTGTGGATGATTTGAATGGTGTTGTGATAGACGGAAGGAAGATCACTGTTAGTCTGGCTAGATACAAGGATGGGCGTCCAAGGTTAGGGGGAAGCATATTTATTCAAACAAGGTTTATAGTCAGAATAATGCAGAGTCCTCAACGTCAAAAAAAGGAGGAAACTCCAACAGAAGCATAAGGGACGACAGAACTTATAGAGATGCTTTGATGTCACATAGAGATGCAATGGGAAAAAAAGACATGCCTTCCGATGATCACCATAGGAGTGTCAAGAAAAATATTTTGGAAATGCATATTCCATCAGAAAGTTCAAGTTGGGCGAAGAGGTCTTTAGCGGGGATTATCAGACATTCTTTTCAGGCTGAGTTTATTCAAAATGCATTAGTTAAGGATGTCTATGATGTCCAAATTGTTAGATGGGGTTATGTATGGAACTCTTGCGCTATAGTTTTTAAAACTCACGAGGAGATGCTGGACATTTGGGAGAACAGGGAAGAGGCTTTTCTACAATGGTTTGATCGAGTGGAACCATTAATGAATGATGAGGGAGTTCCAATGGCTTTCTGTCTGGTGGAATTATTAGGGGTTTCTCTGTTATGCTGGAATGAATCTTTCTTCGAGAAGACAGCTGGTAGATGGGGTATAGTGGTTGATATACATGATGTTACAAGGAAAAGAGAAGACCTCACATTGGCAAGAATTTTATTGAGGGTGGCTAGCCCCTTTGATGTTCCATATGTGATCACTCGTGGATCTTATGAAAGATCTTTCAAAGTTAGTATCAAGGTCAGATCGGCAAACGAATACTCAAGTTCTTTCTTCAGTAATTTTCCGGTGAAAGGTTCTGGTGGGGGATTTTTTGAGACGATGTCTGAGGAAGAGGATGATAAAATGTGGTTAGATAGTGCAGCAGGTGGAGCAGGGAAATATCGTCTGACAGTGGACAATTGGATTGATCAGGTAGTTTTTCATGGTTCTGGAGGAGTTGGTGATGATATACAACTATCTAGACTTTTCTTAGAGAGGAAAGACATTAAATGTGGGCTGCCAGAATTCAACATGTTGGGAGTATAAAAGTAGAAGAGTTTGCAGGTTTGGGGATTAGAAATTCAAATTTTTTGACTGGTGGATCTTAAGCCCAATATGAGGATTCTGGCCAGTCTGGGTCCAAAGGAATTACAGTTTTTCCTTCTGGGCCAGCATTTTAAAAAAATAAGTTTGGGAAATGGTTCATGATCCAGACTTAAAAGAAAAAGGTAGTAAAAAGATTGAAGTTTTGGAAAAGAGCTCAATGGAAGTGCAGTTGGTTAATGCTGAGATAGAAGTAGAAAAAGAAAAATTAAGGCCGGTTGAATTAGTTACATCTGATTCAGGGAATAATTCAAGGAGGAGACAACTACACTGATCCAGAAGTCAGATTAAACCAAAGAGTGATGTGTCAGAAACTAGAAGCATGGGCAGATGTAAAAGGGTCTACAGAAGGTCGAAGGAAAGGAGATATTGGCATGGGGATTTGCTAAAGTTAACGCCTGTAGCTGATGGGGTCAGAGTTAGTCAGGGAAAGATTGATGTGGTTTTTAGTGCTAATAAACATCTTTGTTTACCACCATTTTTTATTGTAAATGGGAGCAAAGTTTTTAATATTGACAGTGGCACAGTGGATGGGAGTGAGGTTAGGGAGATTGATGGCTACTTTTAAGAAGGAGACTGTTTAAGATTCAAATCTGGCTTGTTAATTAGAAGGACAAAAAGGAATTTGTTACGGGATGCCCTTGAACAAGTAAGCATTGATACAGTCTCCTCTTCAGACTTCTCGGTTCTAATGGAAGAAGCTCTAGCTACTTGGCAGGTGAGTGAGCTTCTGGGGGTGTCTTTTAAGGAAAGGAAAGAAGCATTTCTGGAGAAAATCATGGCTTTAGAGAAAAGTTTGAATGGGGTTAATTAAGGTGATACTGGTAGAGGTTTTCAGTTTGCATTTTTCTCTTTTATGATGAAGTCAAAGTTAATAATTTGTTCATGGAATGTTAGGGGTTTAGGGAAAAAAGAAAAAAAAATGGTTGTTTAAAATTTAGTTTCTAGTATATATCCTACTTTTCTTTGGCTGCAAGAAACCTAGTCAGAGAAAATCCATAGGTCTTTTTTCAGAAGAAGTGGGATCAATAATATAAAAGGTGTTTTAGAATCTCCTTCGATCGGATTATCAGGGGGTTTATTGTGTTGTTGGGACGACAATATTTTTGATCTAGAAAAACAGTATGTTTGCAGGAGATTTATAGTAATTTTTGGTAAATTTCGGGATAATAATTACAGATGTGGTTTCATCAATGTTTATGGACCATCAGTGGAGGAGGATAAACCTAGTTTTTTTTTTTTGAAGAATTGAGCATGTTCCTTAGGGGGCAGAATTATCCTCTTTGTGTGGGAGGGGATTTTAATGTTTATTTACAAGAAGAAGAGAAGGTGGGCAGAGGTTTAAATAAAAGTTCTGTGGAGATATTTAGTCAGTTTATCCTTCAAACTGGTCTAATTGATCTTCCTATGAATAGGGGTAGGTTTACTTGGTGCAATAACCAAGATAATCCCACTTTTGTAAGATTGGATCAGTTTTTGGTTGACAGTCAGTTCTTGGTTTCGTTTCCAGATATTGTTCAGTCACTACTCCCTAGGTCTGTGTCGGATCATAATGCTATAGTTCTTGTGAATAAAGGTGTTGAGTGGGGTCAAAAACCGTTCACACTTTTCAACTATTTGATGGAGGAGGAGGGTTTTGAGGATCTGGTTAAATCATCAATTCAAAACTGCAAGAAAGCTCATAAAAAGGCTGGTGTGTTCAGTTTACTAAGAAGTACAAAACATGCAATTAAAAAGTGGGCTGAGAAGAGACATCAATATCCAGTAGCCATGATTTCTGAATTAGAAAAGAAAATTCAGCAGTTAGAGGTTGATATTCAGCAACATCAAGGTGTTATTGACAGTGGAGTTTTAGCATAATTGAAATCTCACAGAGCAGAATTGTGGAATCTTTATAAAATTCAGAAGCAGATTTGGTTTCATTACTCTTGATCAAAGTGGATAGAGGATGGGGATGGTAATACTAAATTTTTTTCAGATGTGTGCTACAGTCAGGAAAAAGAGGAATACTCTGGTTTCTCTTAAATTTAGGGGTGATTCAGTTGAGGACCCGACAGATATTAAGGCCTTAGTAAAAGATTATTTCTTTAAGATTTACAATGAGCAATCTACATTAGAAACTGATGATATAAGGTTGGATTTTTCCAGAATTACTGTGGAGCAGAGACAGTTATTAGAAAAGGAATTTTCTGAGGAGGAAGTTTGGGGAACTTTGAAGTCATGTGACAGCAACAAGGCTCCGGGGCCTGATGGTTTAAATCTGGGATTTTTCAAAAGGTTTTGGCATGTCCTTAAGAAAGATATTATATGACCATCCAGCTCAGTTGGTAGAGCACAAGGTTCTTAACCTTGAGGTCATGGGATCGAGTCCCATGGAGGGCATTTCATAATTCGGAGGTCTCCTACGGAAATTGTTTTTAACCTAGTATTGGAGGCAGTCTACTATCTTACCTCCCCCTTACCCCATTACATATGGGAACAAGGGACAACCAACCTTAAGAAAGATATTATGAAATTCTTTCATAATTTCTACTTGGGGAAAGAATGGGAACATGGAATAAACCATACTTTTATCACTCTCATTCCAAAGAACTATAACACTGGTGGCCTAGAAGATTTTAGACCTATTAGATTAGTTGGTGGGCTATACAAGATCTTGTCTAAGTGTCTATCGAGGAGACTTAGAAGTTGTATATCATATTTAATCAGCCCTTCTCAATTCGCTTTTATCCCCGGTCGACAAATTTTGGATTGCTCTTTAATAGCTAATGAAGAGATCGATTTTTGGAGGAAGAATGGATTAAAGGGCTGTGTTTTCAAAGTTGACTTCAAGAAGGCTTATGATACAATCAATTGGCCTATTTTGTTCAAAGTAATGAGGAAATTGGGCTTTGGTAATACATGGGGAGGTTAGATTTCGAAATGCATCACAACAGCTACTGTTTCAATATTGGTGAATGGGGTTCTGACTGAGGAATTTTCAATGGCTAAGGGTCTTCGACAAGGTTGTTCATTGTCTCCTTTACTGTTTAATATAGTATGAGAACTTTTGAATTTATTGATTCTTAAGGCAGTTTCAAAGGGGCTATTTTCAAGTCTGGTCATTAATAGGGAGGAGGGAAATTTTAATTTAACTCATCTTCAATTTGCTGACGATCGCATTATATTATGTGGTGCATCGAAAAAGCAGATTTTGAATGTGAAGAGGGTGCTCCGAGTGTTTGAAATTATGTCTGGTCTTCAATTAAATTTGAAGAAGTGTAAATTGTTTGGGATTAACTCGAATGAAGAGGAAATTAAGGATTGGGCAGCTACGATTGAATGTTCGGTGGGCAATTTTACTTCAGAGTATTTGGGACTTCCCCTTGGAGCACACAAAAATTCTAACAAACTGTGGGATCCAGTGGTACAGAGTTTTAATAAAATGTTAGCGGGCTGGAAATCATCCACTCTTTCATTGACAAGGAGGTTGGTTTTAATTAAATCAGTTTTATGTTCTCTTCCTACATATTATTTTTCATTGTTCAAGGTCCCAGTTTCGGTCTACAAGTCCCTTAATTCAATTATATCCAATTTCTTATGGGGAAGAGGGAATGGAAAAATAAGATCCATTGGGTGAGTTGGTCAGAGGTTTGTAAACCAAAGATTGAAGGAGGTTTGGGGATTCCTAATTTAAGTGTGGTCAGAGGAAGGCTGTTTGGAGGGAAATGATTTGTACTAAATACAAAATGGACTCATCTTTAATGTTGTTTGACAATAATGTTTCCCCTAAGTTCTCTTGGATTTAGAGAGCTATGGTGAGTAATCATTATAAAGCATATTATGTTGGCTGTAAAATCAGGAGTAAATACAATTATAAAATTTGAAATGGGAGAATTATTCAATTTTGGCAAGACGTTTGGGCTATGGATAATCCTTTAATGGTCATTTTCCTTAGACTGTTCTCTATTACAGTAAATAAAACAGGTAAATTATTCCAATTTGGGGAATTTAGCTCGTGGGACTGGTTTTGGAATGTTCAACTGAGAAGGATTTGAATGACTGGGAATATGAGCAATGGACAAATTTAATGGCTGTCATTTCGGTCTTCTCTATTTCTGATGATTCTGCTGATGGGCTGATTTGGAAGGGCTCTGAAGATGGGGTTTTCTCAGTTAAATCTTGTGCTAATTTATGTTATTCGGGGAGTTCAGATTCGGAAGAAGCTCATTTTTGGAAGACTGTTGTTTGGAGGGGCCTGCTGCCTCCAAGAGTGGAGACTTTTCTATGGCAAGTGATTTTGCAGAAATTGCCAGTGAAGACAACTTTGGTTAAACAAGTAAAGGGCATAGTTGATCTGTTATGTCCTTTATGTAAGTTAATGGAATAGTCCCCCTCCCATTTATTCTTTTCTTGTTCGGTGGTTTGGTCAATATGGAACAAGTTCATGTGCTACTGGAATATTCAGTCTGTTTTTCAAGTGGATGCTAAAAGTTTTCTTCTAGCCTGGGCAGAATTGAGGTCTAACTCTCTCATATGGTCATTTATTCCTGGAGTGGTTCAATGGACAATATGGAAAACTAGGAATTCTATTGTGTTTGAAGGAGGGAAGTTAGATCAAGCTGAAATTTTCTTTTTAGCAAGGTTCAGGCTTACTTCATGGTTTTTAGCAAAATATTCTCAGGTTTCTATCTCTAAGGATTGTCTTATTTTTGATCCTTCCTTAGGGGATTCTTGCTTACCATATTCTAATCGGATTTTATCAAAGTGTTTGTGGTCCCCTCCTCCCAAGGACCTTATTAAACTTAATGTGGATGCTGCTACTACTAGTGATTGGAAGAGGAGTGGTTTAGGTGGTGTTCTTAAAGACATATCTGGTTCGATACTAGCATCTTTCAAAGAGCCTGCTGGTCCAGGGCCTCCTACATTGATGGAATTGAAAGTTATCCTAAAGGGTCTGGTTTTCTTTGAATCTATTCGATAGAGATATAAGGAACGTTTGATTATCAAGAGTGATAGTAGAGTGGTTGTTGACTGGGTTAAGGACGTTGTTCTATGTCCTGTTGTTTATGTTCATATTGTTAAAGATATTATTCAAAAACTCAGAGATTGTGAAGACGTTATTAGATGGGTTAATAGGACTGCCAACCTAGAGGCAGATGCCCTAGCTAAGGCTGGCATTGGTTAATTCTCATGTTATTTTTAAAAGGATGTTTCCTTTTGGTTTTTTTATCTCCTTAAGGGAGTTAGGTGTTGTATTCCTATGTTGATATTGTTGTTAATAAACTCCTAGGGCATTCTTTTCCTCCTTCCGCTGATTAAAGAACTATTTTTCAAGTTCCTTAAATCATGAAGGGGTTTTTTTAATGAGGCCTACTATTCTTATAAAAAAAATACTAGATGCTTATGCAACTATAAGGTACAAGCGATATTATGAAGGTAAGGGATATTAATTAGGATCTCTATTTGCAATGGTTTACACAGCTTAAACAATAAACATAATTCACACGTGAATTACCTTAGGCATTCTTATCACTGGAGCAACTGATATGAAATGAGAACTCTGCATATCAACATTTTTTGGGGGATAAATTTGGTATTAAGAAAGAAGAAAAACTGCTACAGTGGTACTGTTTTACACCATGTACAAGTACAAATCAAATAATATGCTTATGAGCCTATATTCCAATCTATACACAATCGCTGGTTCACCCTATCAGACCTATTAATCTTGGTTCCTGTGAGTTTAATACTAAACAAATCTTCAATATTTTTAAGAACTTCCTGTACATTTGACCGTTGAACTTTAAAGCATCTGGTGTGCCCTCTCCATGGCAGATATACATAAGCTGTCCGGGCAAGCCTCATAATAATAACGATGATTTCCATGTTTCCCTATCCTTTTGTTTCTCTCCTTACAGTTAAGGCTAACCCATTTATCAAATCATTATGTCACATATATTCTGATATGACTTGTTTTTTTCCTGCAATGTCTACAGTTTAGGACACAACATACCAGCAATTATCTGCAAAGGCACCATTATTGTTGCTTTGATCTTATCATGCAGATAACAGTTGAAAAGCATACCAACCAACACATTCAGGCAGCAAAATAAAGAAATGAGTTGTAAAAAGAAAAGAAGAGGTAACATCCATGCATTAAGTCTAAGAAGCCTCCATATCATAAATGTGAACATATAACAGGAAACCAAGAAAAAAGGGGCAGGGCAATGAAACTTAAAAAAGGAGTTAGAATGTTTTCTGAGATGTTTTCTTCCCAAATATTGCTTCCCAAACCAAAGGTGAAAAAGGTGCTTTCTTGTCCAGAAACTGTCTCAAAGCTTTATCATTAACCAAAAATCCCTTCTGTTTTAAAGTTCCAATAACCTTTTCTGCTTCTTCCACGCCCTTCTCCTTACACAACCCCTCAACCAAGCCCACAAAAGTGATGACATTTGGAGAATGGCCGGCGTCAAGCATTTCCAAACAAAACTCAATAGCATCATCCAAATGATTACATTTATACAATCCTTGAATCAGAACACTATAACTAAAGGCATTGGGAACCACACCTTTGGATTGCATCTTCCTGAAAATTCTCTTTGCATCATCAAGTTTGTGTGCTTTGCAGAAGCCATCAACAACAGCTGTGTATACAACAACTTCCGGGATTGTACCCTTTTCCCTCATTAATCCGAAAAGCTTCATTGCTTCTTGGATAAGCCCATCTTTACACAGACCATCAAGCATGGCTACAGCATTCGGGATAAGACCGTTTTCTTTCATTTTCTTGAAAATCTCATCAGCATCCTGTGGTGGGGGAACCTTTTCTTCGTGCTCTTTCCTATTTATACCTACTGAATCTGAGGGCAGTTTTTCTCTCTTGTTATCAAGCCCAAGCTTGAACCTTTCCAGGAAGTGCACATCAGATTGAGAATCTTCTATCTTCTTTATAAGATCAGAAGCAAATATGGCCGTGGAGTGCTGAAAGTTGGTTCCTTTGGTTTCTCGAGAAGAGATATTGAAAGGCCTTTGATCCCTTAAGGGCCTATTGGGGATACGTTGAGGAACCTCATCATCGTTCTCATTGCCATTAAAACCGATGGGTTCGTTTTCTCTGATGGGTCGTCTTCTATCGCTTAAGAGGCGCGTTTGCAAGAGATACATCGAAGGAGATGCTCTTGAAATGGGGTAATGGGGCTTCATGGCGAAAATCTTCATCAGCTTCACGAAAACCCTCCGATATTGTGATAATTCCATGTTGATTTGGTTTCGAGTACCGTCGAAGGCTGTTCTTTTCTTCTCCAATTCAAAGAAACAGCTATGGATTTGACAGGGGATGAGGTTCTACGCTGAGAGGAGTTAGGTTTTTGCGCCCAGAAGAATCAAAGATTGATCTTTTTCTTTTTACAATTCAAAGGAACTGCTATGGGTTTAACAGGGAGTGAGGGTTAACGCTCATATAATTTAGGTTTCTGCCCAAAAGGCAACAGATGGAGGGGGAAACATTTAGGGTAAACTAATGAAATGGTCACTTTTGTTCCATAAGTATTCACACTCGTCAAATTTTAAAAATAACGCTTTAGTCCTTATATTATTTATTTATAACGTTTTAGTCATTTATGTTATCAATTAATATTTAAGTTTTTGGGATGTTATCAACTAATACTTATTAAAAAGAAGTTGATTGTCAGTTTGATATTTAGATATTCTATAAAATATTAATTTTATATTTAAATTTTAATTAAAATAATAATTTAATTCTTAAATTTTAGATAAAATATCAATTTAATTCATAAGTTAATCAAAATTTCACGTCACCAACAGTCACTACCGTCCTCGATTGCTTCCAACCACATTAAATCGTCATTATTAACGAATGTTAGACCCTAAAATTCTCAATCAATTTTTACCTCCCGAAAGCAAATCCAATTTTCGTTTGACCAATAAAAAATAACCTAAACTCCATAAATTTGACATATAACTGTTAATTTCTTCTAAAACTAAATTATAACAATAAATTATAATTAATATTATTTTAAAAATAAAAACACTAAAAATATATATTTATAATATAATTAAATTCATGATTTTTAATAAAATAATATATTTATTTAACCAAAAGTGTATCATAAAAACCAGGATGAATAAATGAAAAAAAACTATATATAAAGAAAAAGAAAAAATTCTATTCTAAAAATTACATTTAGAACTTTAGAGTGCATATAATACCCATAACCCGTAAACATCTAAAAATAACATCAAACTGACTAATATTTACTATTCACAATTACTTAAAAAAATTAGCATTCATATTTCAACTTTAAAACCATATATATCTACTTGAATTTCCATATTATTTAAAAACATAATATTATTCTATGCATACTAAATATTGATAAACTAAACTAGTTAAAATAAACACTCTTAATTTACTGTTACAAAACATTTAATCAAAAATTGATAAAGCAGAGTAATAACATAATTATACATGTCACTACTAGTCAAAAGAAACATCGATGATGTCTTACTAATACTGATATTATAGGCGGTCTTCACAAGATGCTCGGGAGGCTCCTCACAGTACGTTCGCATCTCTATCAGACCCTACGCATGAAAATCATCACACGCTAAGTACAACTTAGTGAGGTATGAATACTAAATATGAGAATAAATAAATAAAGTATCGAAATATATAAAAATATTAAAAACAATTCAAAAAAACTTTCAAAACGTTCAAACATGATATCTTATGTTGTATCTTTATCAAAAACCTGAAAAGAATCATCTTATAATTTTTTTTACAAAATCATAATATGTCATATCAGACAAAATAATCAGTCAACATTTCTTTTTATTTAGACACTTTTTAAAACTTTTATATTTTAATTTTACAACCCAAACTATATTTAAGAGAATATAAGGTACGTGAGCCAGACGAATGTGCACAATAATCATCTCAGTGCTATTATTAGAATCGAAACATATAAGCACACACAATGCTATCACATCGGAAATCACAATATGCACAAAAAGTGCAATCACAACGGAATATATATATTTACTAGTGTACTTACCAGTACACCACAATATATCAAAATTAGTATATAATCACTCCACCTCATAGCATACCAATTGTACCTTTGACTTTCAATACAACATACAATAGGCTTTCATTTCAATTCATAATTATCTGATAAAAATCATATCTAAATCATAATTATATTCAGATCATATTCGCAAAACATGATATGGGTAGTTCATATCCAAAATCATTCATAAAACTTATTAAATATTACGGATATAATTCCACAATCAAAACATAATTCATATATTTGAAATAAATAATGTGTGGTTGACTTATCGCAAGTCGTCATCGATGTGTACTTTTACTTTCCTTTCGATTCGTTCGTATCAATAGATTTATCATAGTCTGACAATATAAATATATTCAACTATAAGTTAGTATCATACTAACATAATTTAAACTTAAAATATAAAATTGTATATAATATAAAAATCGATACTAATTCGATACAACTTAAATCATGCTTTCATCCAAAATTCAAACTTCTCAAAATACTCCTTAGGTTCCATAAATATTTATTTCCAACTTAAATCCCTCAACTTTTGCCAATTACACATTTAAACCAAAATTTTGAATTCTTTCTAAAATTCACCTCAAATTTTCCATTAAATTCATAAATAGCCCTTTACTATTATGATCATATCACATTATTCACGTGAAATTCCAACACTTTCATAAATCTTCAAATCAACCCTTAAACATTCAAAAGCTTGCAAATTCATCCTAAATTATCTTCGACTTTTCAATTTTAACCATCCAATTTAATAAACTTGACGTTCAACCCCAATTCAATATTAAATTCCAAAAATCAGCAAATTAATTCAAATTTCCAGCATTAACATAATTTACCCAAATGATACTCTTACATTTTATAACTTGTAAACAAGACCCCTATTTTCTTGGACTTTTTGAATTCCACCCCAAATTTTGAAATTTGGTTCCAAACAACTTTCCAATCTTAATTTTCCAGTATTTTAATATTAAAAATTAATATTGAACACCCCAAAACTCACATTTAGACATTAATGTCCCACAATTCTTAAAACTTGTAAACTAGCCCTTTTACACTTTCAAGGTTCTAAATTGATCCAAATCAATCT